TGATGCACGTTGAAAAAAATTTGTTATTTTTGTGAAAAATCATTTTTCCCTATCCACTTTATCCACTGAAGAAGATACATTTGAACAGAATTGATGTCGACCATCAATTTCGCGTGCTACCATTGAGCTGTATACACACATTTATACGACCGTGCGGTACCAAACCAAACACAAATCACCCAATTCGTCCACCACCTTGTTCAACGTGCTCATTTCTACTTCTGTTTCTTGGTTGGACATGATCGTTTACAAATGAATGAGAGTACATGGAATTGATGTTCAGTATCAATTCTAACCACAGACACCCATTTTGCTTTGATGAGGTTGTTAATCTTGTTCTCGCTATCCATCGTGATTTTGCGCTTTCCATGTCGTTCTGTTCTGCTGTTTAGTTGACACAGCGCTTGTTCACGGAAAAATATAAATGTGCTTGCGAACAGGTGTCGTGTCAGCGGAGCAACCGAACAGAAGGGCACTCAGACATGATTGTAATCACTGTACAACGAATTATGATCATTGATGAGTGTAAAACTCAGTTCGCGCAGGTTGTCTTGCTCGCTTATGCTTTGAGGTTTCATTCTTCTAGGTAACCATTGGTCGTTTCACCTATCGATTCCAGCTGTTGACTAATGCGCATATGATAGATGGTCAGCTTTTATCCCACTTTTACAATCAAAGAAGATAGTACCGTTATGGCCGCAAGGTCCTTCATGAACCTCAATCTTTATTGTTCCTTGATTTTATCTTCCATAACCGTCCTGTTAACCAAAAGGCGATTGAAAATAGAATCCACCTCATCCAAATTCGCCTACCCTGATTCGCTGAAAGGACTGTGTAGCCCTTTTTGTCTTTTGTGTAGATAGCCTAGTCACCTGACGCTGTATCGTTCATAGTTTTCTGGTAGCATTGTAGTTTGTGCACTCCTCGCAATATCAATATCGTGCTGTTTGTTGTTCTAGTTACATAGATAATGGTGGATACTGTCGAACGTGAATAGACACACATGTTGGAACACATTTGCTTCGTCATCCAACTGGCATGCATCAGCCTACATTGCTCTGAGTTCTACCTATTCCGCGAACGNACGCGCGTGCGGACACAAACATTAGCTTAATGTGCATTACCTTCTCCTTTATTGGCATGCTTGTCTATGCGGTCAGTGACCATGTCAGATAAATTCTCTCTCGCTCACACGCGCACACACCAGGCACTACATTTAATTAATCTTAAGATTTCTAATGACACTGCATCTCTCTCTTAGGCCACCGACCATGGCATTGAATCTCGTTCGTGTGATGGAACATACTGTGATCGAATGAGCACATATTCCATGATCTGTTGCTTGTAGTCATGACTTCGTGTGATCGATCTATCTATTTGTAATCCTATCCTTCCATGTGACAGAAAACTCTTAAATCGATTATCATGTGTTCGATGCTCTGAAAAAACAGCAACTTACTCCGTCGTCATTTTCTGTTTTCAGTTTATGGAACGAGTGAATTAGTTTTGAATTTGGGTATGGTCCATTTGTCATTTTTCGTTCACTGTTGAAGAGGTCAAATTAAAAATGCTATTTCAACAACCTCAATAAAAGTAAATTTATTTGCAGCATCTGTGTTTTTATTTACTTCTTCATATCCGCATAATAGATCCTGTCTTTGAGAGTATTCACTCTGATATCAGCATTCATTGAACTCCAAGATCTGGTTCACTTGATTTTTGGAATCATTCACTTTCGTGACCCGGTTTTGGTTGCTGTCTTTTGGTCCCCCATTTGGATAAAAAAGCAGAATAAAGATTGGAATATCGAGAGCATATACACGGGGACGATGGAGAAGTCATTTAGACTGGGGTTGTAATTATAATGAATAGATGCATGGGCGCCACTGTTTGCGACACCCAGCCATATCACCCAGCGTCTCTAACCACCGGTTATCATGATCTCAAAGTCCCCAGCCAGGGAGCCTAACGGGACCAATGTGACAGTGTCCTGGTTAGGGTTTTCATACCCTCATGTCTTAGTTGGACCACCCCTGACCCTTTTTCATCCGCTACCCGTCTCGGCAAACATGGCTCGCCGCGGCAACCTATTTGATGACATGCGCAGCGCATTTCCCAACCAGCATATTGTATCAAGATCGACCACTCGCTGTAGTGGACTGCCGCTATTAACTAAAACTCTACACCTAACTTCAGAATTTGCTCATCCGGCTGCCCCACCAGACTCGTGCAATGCGAAGTACATAAGGGTGTTCAAACCCCGACATTCTCATTTTATCCTGTTCCCGTAGTGGCCAAGTGTCGGCACAATAAACCAGAATTGGTCGAACTACTGTATTATATATTTCACCTTTCACAGACAGCGGATCTCGCGACAGCGCCATATATGTCTCAAGTTGGCAAATGCCAGCTGGGCTTTGTAGATGCGCACCGACACTTTATCTGTGATGCGTCCGCCAGGTGCGGTATAGCTGCCCAGATAGCAAACTTTATCTACTTCCTCTACTACTTCCCCAGTTTGTATACTGTTAAGGGCTAGACTACCCGAATCTTGTTGCAACATTTTACATTTTGAAGGTGCAAAACGCATACCGGTCATGACTACACTAGCACTCAAACTATCCAGAAAAGCTTGCAGCTTACCTGAATCTTCCCTTAGTAGCACAATGTCGTCTGCACACTCTAGAGTAGACAGTCTACCACCTGGGAGTGAACCGATACCGCCATCCTCGCACGAGGATAGGACTGTTTCCATAATCAGATCGATAAAAAAGTTAAATAGAAACGGGGAAAGAGGGCAACCCTGTCGAACACCACACCGTGGTGAACTCGGGCGAAAAAGTGACGTGAGCTCGGACTCAGTTACGGCCATTATTACAGAGGGATTGTAATATTGAAATAAACTTCTTGGGCACACCCTTCAGTGAAAGGTAGCACCTGAGTTCAGAGTGGTCGGCTGAGTCGAAATCCGGTCTCAGATCGAAGAAGATAGAAATGATGGGTCTCCGAAAGGTGTGTTCTGGAATTTAACGAAGAGTAAAGATGTGGTTGATACAACCTCGAGCAGGTCTGAAACCGGCCTGGTTCTCACGCGTATACCTTCCCCGTACGACAGACAATCGACGGAGTATAATACCAGCGAGACGTTTAAAGACGATGTTCAATAAACTAATCCATCTGTGGTTTTCACAGGAGGATCTGTCACTTTTTTTCATAATCGTTATGAACATCGATTCACGCCATTCCGTTGGAATGTTTTATCGAACACTGTTCGCTGAAAACGAATATCATCCTTAACTCGGGTCTCAAAGCTGGTTTTAGTAGATGTCGCCAGTGTGAACTGAGCAACTGAGAAGCAGTGGTCAAGTGATTAAAATCGTCAATACAGCAGCCGGGAAATCGTTTCCTTGAAACCCATCACGGCTATCCGTCCCCATTGGTGTTCTTTGATTGATTGCAGCTGTATTCACAAGAAGTTGCGTGCATTTGTATGTAAAAAGCCATTGAGATTTTCAATGTATTTAACTCAGACTCATGCATCTGCAATTTGAATAATGTACACCTTTGAAACTTCATTCTAGGGTAAAACATCTGAGGCCCTCGCCAAGCTGCTGTCACTAAAAGCCACAGAGGCCACAATTGTCGATATGGGTCCCCAGTTCAGCCAAAAGAAAACTGGGTTTGATGAATTTAACTGGGAAAAATCTGATGATCGAGACCGGTTGACGAAGTGTATGGAGAAAAGAATACCGGTCGAGTTGGTTCATCGTGGTGATATCATCAAAGTAAGCTTTTACTTGTGTCATGTTTTTGACTTTACTTGCATTTCTAGTATAAAGGTGAAATAAAATGAGTGAACCGAAGAGATTTGATTCACTACGGTAAATAGTTCAACCGCTCAGTTCTTATCAAAACTGGTTAATTTCATTTTCCTACCAGATATGTACTCTTAAAATAATATGCACTCTAACAATGCTACTTGTTGGACGTACTTTTGTTGCAGTGTCGAATTAGTATCAATAAGCATATATTGTACACTCATATTTCTCCACACTGTGTATCAAACAGAACATATTACAGACATTTATGCAGTAATAAAATATGTCTCATTTGCGGTGGTGACTATTTTAATTGTAGCGCAAATTTCGGAGCTGCGCTGTCTACGCAGCATTTTACAGATCTGGTGGGGCAACCAGATGAACAATTCCGAGATTAGGTGCAGAGTTTTGCGTGGTCGTGGTAGCCCACTGGAGCAAGTTGTCCATCTTCATAGATTACATTGGCACATGTGTTGCCCATGTCAATAAATAGGTTACCAGGGCAGGCAGTGTGTGGTAAAAAGCCAAGGCTGACCAAACTAAGACCGAGTTTAAAGCTATGAAAACCTGACCAGGACACTCTACATTTGTATCTGTATCATTCATTCTCAACCTTCTGTTGTTCGATAACAAAATCATTCGCAGTCCGTTTTTAATGTTCAATTTGGTATTGTTTATGTTCTGTTCTTCCGATAGTGGTCTGATTCTCTTTGGTTCATCAGTGCATAATTGGTGACTGGTTTGCACGAAATCCCGGTCCTGGTAAATTCTTTTTATTAAACTGATATTCCGTTAATCATGATAAGTGGGGCCTATCCTGGAACGATGAAGAAATGATAAATCAACAGCATTTTCACGTTGTCAATATATTTCTTCATATCTTGATTTGATGCACTGTTTTTCCTGCAAATAAAAGTTTGACATTGAAAGCAGACCTCTCATATACGCTTTTCAAGGATGCGATCAAATATGGACATTGCCAGAGGAAGTATAGTTCGGCTTCACTCATGTGAAGTAAATTCAAACTAAAAACCAATGTTTTTAATCCAATTCCAACAGGCACACCTACTTCTGTTCTTTACTGTTACAGAATTAAATTTATTCTGCTAACTTTTCGCCACATACCATTGTAAATAAATTATGATTCGATGCTGCGAATCTTAATCTTGATCTTAGAGAAATCCACACATGTAAATTTCCTGTTAGCGCAGTCAGATCCTGATCGTTGTGTTTCTTATACGATCGACAAACTTCGGACAATGTGTTAACCAAATGATGCGATTTATGTTACGTCTACCTTTAAATTAGGTAATTACGTTCACATGATCTAGTGGCCTGTTGATGCATCGTTTGATTGGCAAGTGCCTCCCGCATTACTCGATGAAACCGGGCACGGACACACGAGCGTAGTACCGCTTTGACATGGTTACTCTAAGAGGTTGTTTCGTGACGTGTCTTGTCAGAGGGAAAGAGCGCATTGAACTTAACCCCATCTAATACCTACTTAGGCCATACTATCCAATTGAAGAAGTATTTCGGTCGAATTCGTGTTAAACTGTTTGCTCTACATGAATTTCGTCGTCGTTGTTGCTGAAGATGCTGTTTTTCTTTTTATCATATTTGAGAAAGGGACCTAGTGGATCATGCTATCATTAAACTTGAGTGGTTTCGAACTCACGCGGATGTTGAAATAAAAAAACATGTATCGTGGTTTCAAAATTTGCACTCCTCTCAGAAGTCCTTTTTACTTTATTCATACGCCCTGGGCCGAGAAAACATTAAATAAATGTGAAAACCATCCGTTTCTAGATTAACCCTTAATAGACACGACGACTATCATGTAAGCGAATTACATCCTGGACAAAAGCAAGGAAAATACATGTGCGCGAGTTCACGAAACAGTCAACAGTTTTCAAAGAAGACTAAGGTCTGAGAATGGTTTTTGGGTTTCCGGTTTGAATGGTGTTGGATGAACCGAACATGTGTGTACGTGTTGAGTGTTGTATCAGTAAACGCATAGCTGAATAATTTTCACCGCTATTCAGTATCGTTTTTTAATTAATCGGTTTTCCTTTGAAAGATGAATAAAGAACTAAAACCGCTTTCGTAATATTTGTAAGCGTAAATACGAATTTATTTCTGTTTAAAACTTTCAAATTGTCCATTCGACAGTACGATGTGGAACGCTGTTTGTCATGCACTTAAGACCAAGTCTGAATCATTCTGTTACTGTCTGTACGTATAGATTATCCTTGTTGTGTCCCGTATGCCAAACCGGTCAAAACTGATCTACCTGGGGGTTACAGTAATAATCTAATCTAAGTTTTCTTTGCCGTTGTATTTCTGTATGTGGAAATCCACCCACCTACATTGCAATCAATTGCACTTTCGTATTCGATTTTTTCTCGTGCAATAAATTTAATTTGGTGTCCTCGTTTGTTTTACATATACGAACTAGTTCAGGGTTTAAACACCTGATTTCTATTCCTCTCGTCTGATGTGTAACTCACAATGGTCACTAGACTGTTTTCTATTTCCTTATCTCTCGATCCTAAGCCTAACATGATCGCTCAAAATAAAACGTGGGGTTATTTCCATGACGGATTGATACTAGTGGCTCTGTGATTTTAGCTTACTTTGAGTTGTTTTGAGCTTTCAGAATAAACGAAATTTGTGCCTGCGAAATGCGATCTACGTGGACGCTCTAAAGCTTTTAGTATTAAGTGAACTGTTGCGCGGGGCCCTTGAATTTGGCCGTTCCTTGTTATCGTTGAATATTATTTCGTAAAGTTACAGTGAAAGAACGCGTGTCAGCACTTTTGAATCAGCTCGTTAAATTCTCAAGTTCAAATGTCCTACAACGCCACATTCTTAAAATCCTTGCAGTTTGTCGCGCAGAAACATCAGTTTCTAGTTTTTGTCCATTCTGTGAGAAATCGCTTCAAACGACCGCGAAAAACTGTTCAAGAACATGATAAAAAACACCGTGCTGTCTGGTGTGTGGCGCTTAGGCGGCGTTCTGTTGATAATTTGACCCTTCCGTCGATTATTTCATGTAACATTCCTTCGCCCATGGGAAAACTCGATGATGTCAAGAGCATGATACATCAGAAGGAATTCAAGAATGTGGGGGTAATTCTACTCCAGGAAAGCTTACCACATCTTGACATTGAGGACAACATCGTGCATCTTGATGGATTTGACGTATTCCGAGGCCATCGTTATGCGAACTTCCTTCACAGAGGTGGTGGAGTGGTCACGTTCGTCAACAGGAAATGGTACAAAACGCTCAATTTAGTACGCCCAAGATGTTATATTTTTGTTTTTTGTAAGCCCCAATTTCTCAGTCACTTTCACCACATATTAGCGACCATTTGCATCGCTCCCGACACGCCTGCTTTTGATATTCGTCTGTTTGTCTACTCTTTGTCCTCACAACTTGTAACAGGTTTAGACCAGTCTTCATGCATTGCTGCTGGTGATTTTAATCGTCCTAATATCTCTTTCCTTACAACTTTAGGCCTGACAAATCTTGTAAATTTTCCTACCCGGCTTGGTGTCCAACTTAACGGGATTCTTGTAAATAGCCCCGAAATCTTTTCCATTGAGATGCGGGCTCCCATAGGTAGCTCTGGCCATTGCTCTACCTTTTTACATCCCAAGATTTATGGTAAATATTTTCATCACAAAATGAACCGTTCCACATCTAGAATCGGCAGAAGGAGAAGTCGCCCTCCTGATAACTTATCCAAACTTAGAAATATGGTTTCTTCTACAGATTTCAGTCTTTTCCAATGCTGATAACTCTTACAGTTGTGGGCATCTTATATGTTACCTAATTTTTGCTATGAGCTGTGTTGCCTAGTAGAGACTTTATACATTCGAACTGACAAGTTCTCTTCGCCTCTTCTAAAACGGCTTTGTCGTGATAAAAAAAGGTTTACAGGACTGGAAGGCGCAGTGCTGTCAAACATCTATCATTGTTGATCACAATGGAATACAGCACCTAAATCAGATATATATCGAAACTCTTATGGGAAACCAGAATTGCCGTGATATGTGGTCTGCTTTGAAGCAGCTCTTTGAATCAAGTAACAGCTCTTTTCCAGATGCTGAGGAGTAAACCGTCAATTCGCAAATGCTATTGTATGAAACTCAACACCATCTGTATCTAAATCTAATGGAGAGAATCAATCACCTCTGTGGAAGTCCTGAGTGTACTGAAGTCCCTCAAATCTAAAAAGGCACATGGCCCTGATTCATTGTCCCCCTTCCTACTGAAAGAGTGTGCTGAACAACTTGCTTCACCTATTTCCGAGTTGTTCAATTTATGTGTCATCTGGAAGCATCCCTGATTGTTGGAGAGCTGCTCGGATAATATCAATTCCAAAAAGGATCTTCCAAATATCGACCGATTGCTTGCACATCAGCATTATTGAAACTTTTCGAAAGAGTCCTCCTTAACCGGCTGACCCTATTATCTGTTACCCATGACCCCATTCAGTTTGCTTACAAACATTCGGTTTCAACTCTTGATGCTGTTGCTCACGTTATTCATTCCGTTACATCCTTATTGGATGAATGGGCGGGCATCGTCCGTTTAACTTTTCTTGATTATGCTAATGCTTTCGAATCACTTGACTGGGGCATTCTCATAAACGTCTTTCGGATTGTGGTCTGGCACCTAATTTACTGATTGTACTAATTAATTACTTCACTCATTGGACGCAATACACTTTTTGTAACGGTAAATCTTTCTCCCTGCTAGAAGTTAACTCTGGAGTTGTTCAGGGTGAAATTTTGTCTCCATTTTACTTTTTTCCCAACTTAATCGCGTGCAAGTATGCTGCTGATGTAGTCGTCGGTTGTCCCTCGACTGATCTTGATTGTTTGTTAATTTCAAGTTTATCTAAATGAAATATTGAATTAGTCGATTTCCCTATCTTTAATGCTAAATGTAGATAAATGTCTGGATGTTTCTTCTAGCCTTGAAACAGATGTGCATTATGGAACCCTTTGAGTAATCAGCCTGAACTTTCTGTTAATGGTAATACCATCCCCAAAGCTAACTCTGTGAAATATCTTGGAGTTACTTTGTCACAATCTTTCTTGGTTCAAACATTTGGAAAAAATTTATATTAAGGTTCGTAGGCTCTCCTTCTGCGCCATTAGGTTTAAAAAGCTCGGCGTTCCCCTAAATGTAATTCTTAAATTTGTGACTGCATGCATTCTTCCACATTGGTTGTACTGTTCCCCCGTATATTTGCCTGGTCTGAAGGAGGAAGACTTTATTCTCTTTTCCAGATCTCCTAAACTTCTTTCTCGTTGCAGCGGCATTTCAAAGACCGTTTTGGTTGACTTTATTGTGAGCAAGCATTTTGATTCACGCGATCGATTTATCAGCCATATACTGCCAAATGAAGAACACTGCCTGCATTCCCATCTCAGTAAATCGTTGTCTCATCCGAGNCGAGTGCGCGTTCCCAATTTAGGATTCTTTGTGCACGCACCACCACATATAAAGACAGCATGATCCCTTATCTTGCTCGTATCTTGATCAACCGAGCAAATATTATCACTGACTTGAATAATCATCTGTCACATTAGGAGTTTATCAATATTTTGTTTTTCATTTAATAAATGTATATATCTTCCTTTTCCTATACTTAACGTTTTCCTCACCGTAACTTGTCGAAAGTGCTGAAAATTCATCCTGTTGGGTGCATAAAGCTTTACTTGATCTAACTTGAATTGAACATCGATGATGTACCGAATCCCACAACGTTTTTCTGTTGCATACTGTTTTATGATGAACCGTTAAAGGGTTAAATTATGTAACTTATAAAGACCTACAGTTCACTCCTAATGGCTGGCAATCTGAGCCCTGTAATTTGGAGTGACAAAATACATGGGATCCTACTATTGCTAAAGTCCGCCCTCAAAATTTCTAGTGTCATCAGGATTGTTTTGAGTGGTCAGTGTTCCGTCGTCGTCTTTACAATTACCAGAATATCACAGTATCTTTTCAAAAAGTGCCATGCCTGTTAAGCAATGATTTTTGCAAACTCTACACTTCTGTTTGATATAGAAAATTCACGACATCAATGAGAGAATCTAAGTCGCCACAATCACTGCGCTGTCGTTAAGGCACTTGGTATCCGAAAATCCAAACCCATTTTTTCTTTGATTCATACTGACCCTTTAATTCTGACTATATCTGTACTCTTTTACCTTTTTAGTTTCATCTTGTTCCAGTTCCATCTGACCGTTTTTGTCCTTTCACATGAACCTCTTGGTTGCCAACCTCGTCTTTCGCATATTGTTCGTTAAAGATTTCTGTCGGGTTCTGAACCCTAACGCTTACCGTGTTCTTCTGTTTAGAGAATAAACAGTGTATTTCATTCTGGATTTATTAACTATATTTTGTTCATGAATAGGCTAACCCCTAATTCGACTTTTCACCACTTCTTTCTTCCCCAGGTCTGTCCGGGAGAGAAAGTTCCCGTAGATTCCAGGGTAATCTGTGGTATATCTGCTTGTGATGAATCCCTGATCACTGGGGAATCTATGCCGGTGGATAAACAACCAGGTAATTCTCCACTGATTTGCTACTTCCTTCCGGTGAGAATTCACATCATATTGATGCATGTTACTCGCGATTTAGTCAGTACCTCATTTGATCATCAGTTATAATCTCATTACCTTCATTGCAAATCTCTTATAATTCTCACGTTGCTCACTGTACATAAATGGTCTTAGTAGGTCCATTCCTCGAGCCATTTTTGATTCCCTGTGTGGTTTAACTTTGTGAAGTGACTCTTGATCAAACCTGCGTTTTTGCTTACTCACCTGATTATTTCTACCCATCTGTGTCAAGGTTCTGATCTCATAGGTGGTTCCATCAATCTCACCAATGTGATTTGGGCCAAGGCAACACATGTCGGTAGCGATTCCGCATTGGCTCAAATCGTCCGTTTGGTCGAAGAGGCTCAAACATCCAAGGTACTTATCCGATCGTTTCTGGTTACTTGAACATTCGTCTATTCATCATACGATCACCGGGTATTACACTATTATAGCTGTAAAAATTACA